GAGACACTACAAGATATGGCTGCCAACCGATGTCAGTGGCGTTCTTGTTGTCAGTTTCTATCCAGATTGCCTGAGTGAATGTGTGGAGGCATAGGCACGTCGGAATGATTGTGGTAAGCTAGCACTAAATCCCTTCCCTGTCAACCTTTACTCTTTTCTTTACAATAAGGCTTTCAAATAAGTCATGGTTGTACGGCAGTGAAGCATCGGTGTTGAACACTGATGTCATGCTGTCGATGATGATGATGATGAAACACGACCAGATAGTACAACTAATCAGACCAACTGCAAGTGAACATGAAAGGCTACTTGACCTGTGACAGCCGTGTAAATAACTAGAAAATGGTCAAACGTCATGCATAGTAAAACTTCATCAAACGCCCGATCCATTCAGGTGTGTGGTCTAACTGACCGTCTAGTTGGTGGCTTAGCTCAGTTGTTCTACTGCAAACAGTGTCAATAAGTCGAAGGTCATCACCAGTTGTGTTTATGACAAGAATTCATAGGTAGACAGTCAGGGGAAGTAAATTTGTACATAATGCCTCCGAATAACCACTCAAAAACGCCCATCCTCAATCATGATACCCTTCTTCTTCGACATCAGCCACCAAGATAATAAGCTGGGATGCTCAGAGTGCTGATTCGTGAACCTCATACCGGGAGAGTAGTTAAGGCTTTTATTTGTTACGCGAATTTTTCGTTCTAAGTTGTTGAAGACTTGCTCATACCTAGATATTTTTCAGTTTTATCGGGCTGTCTCAAATCTATTGATACAGGTCTTCAAGGTAATCCCGCAGGCGAAAACTATTTTCGAACTAGCCACCATAAAAATGCAGATATGAAGATTTTTGAGTTACAGAACGCAGAAAATTCTCAATAAGGCGAAAACATCTGTAAAATGCTTTTTAGTACCTTTAGCATAAACTGGTTTCACTTACCAACCCAAATTTTTATTGTCTGTTCTTTGTCTGGCTATTCATCTGCTATAACAGCTTCCGTTTTATACGTTTGAAGTGACAAATATGTCACACACTAACCGAAATATGACCCGATAAACTAATCACGATGTTAAACTTCTTATTGAGTTTGCCACATGGAATATTCATGACTTCTGTTTTATTTTATCACAACGTTTTAACGCGCATATTAAATAACATCATTTTGAGGCCAAGGAACACATGATCAGATTACTGTTTATATTTAATTTTGGTTCAGAGCACTTGCATTAACCTGATGGCGTGTATCAAATGGTTCTGTACAGAGATACACAAGTAAACAAGAAAGTTCTTCAGAATTCCCCATGCATCTGTCTTCAGTCCGTGAAGTTTCAATCTACTGAAGGAAAGGTTTGAGCTGACTGATTGTCATATGGGCTGGGGTTTGGAGATGCCGAGTGCTGATCTGACTTTTGCGATGATCGAACGAAGTGTATTTCAGACGGTATGTGTGTGGACTGGAAAAAAATTGTGTGCAGAACAATTTTCGGTTAGACATTCGGAGAGAAAAGACTAAAAACAATAAGGCATCTGCAGAGATTTGGGGACTGCTCGAATTCGGACCAGGATACACTATGAAAGATTGCAAACGTACGAAAGACCAAGAGTTAAACCCGGATAGGTTCCGGTGGCCAGTGGTCTATTTCCCCTTTGTACAATGTGTAACACTCATAAACGCCCACTTACCTCAGCTAACAGATCAGCCTTCTTTTACTGCTACTGACAGTGAGACACATCAGGCAGTTGTAATCCTGCACGCACTGTGTCAAGTGAAGCCATAAACTCAACGACCTGTTAGTTATCGCTCGGAAATAAGACGGCATGTGCTAATGAACTGCTTCAGAACGGAAGCCATTCACACTGCATAGAACCTGAGCACGTCCTAATGGTCATTTTAGAACTGCAGTATAAAAGATGCCTTGTAGCGCCACCTGAAATCAAGCTAATCCAAACTGATGTTTGTTAGTATTACAGTAGGCTGGTGTTCTGGGTGCATTTGGCGAGTTCAGTTTTACATGTGGTGATTTACTTGACACAAGTTTTCAGGTATCATTTTCGCTACAGTAAAAAAATGAAATTTAATAAGCCAGTCAAGTCAAATGAGAGAATGATTCACTTTTGTGAGGCCGCTGACGTGGTCGCCCCACCGGGGAGAAGGTGTCTTCCCTGAAAAGTCAACAAATTGTACTAGAGTGCTGCGGCTATATTTTCAACTACTTAAACTGATTCCCCGTTGTTGTTGGCTTCACATTCAGGTACTTAGCAGATGATACTTTGGCATTCGGATGAACACACAAACAGCATGACCTTCTAGCACTACTTGGTGATGAGATGGCTCATATATCAATGTAGAAAAAGAGGATACTTGCTCCAACACGAGAAAACCGTTCCATAAACATTAACATTGTCCAGATATTCTTACTCCTGCAGCAAACCAGCAGCTTCGTGAAACAATCTGTGCATCAGTTATGTCAAACAGACTTAAACCTGAGGACAACATCATGGCGCTACTTTTCCGAGTCGGATAAGAATAAAAATATCCTGCTTTCTCCCATTTTCTAAAGTAAATCCTTCAGAACGTGTTCTTGGGACCCAGTTGGTCAATGCCGTGTTAATTTGTCTTCAGCCAATCTATTTCCATTTTATCTTATTCTGTACTTATCTGATATGCTGATGAGAGAGATAACCGGCTTTGCTGTCGGAAACAACAGAAGTTACTTAAAAAAAGCCGAAGAAAATTTACCTCGCAGTAAAATGCCCCCGTTGGTTCACTGCCACTACAAAATGATGAATAAACGGTTTGTCTGACCCTTAACAATGATAATTTTCTCAGTCAGCACCAATGTATCTGACACTCCGTATAATATGAAATCATATAAATATCCATCGTGTTATTCCACTGGAATTTCATTCATTTCTCTAGCAAAACTCCGCACAGAAAATTAACTATCTACCTGATCCTTCTTTTGTTTGAGGTGATAATGCAGAATGAGGACCTTGAAACGTTTGTTTGTGCACAATACCAAACTACCTTTCTATATTAAAATCATTCAGTTCCTTTGAATACCTACCCTGTTCATGATTATATCATCCACAACTGCCGCTGAACGGTTGTTCAGTGGACTCTTTGGTTTCGACTTTCGTTGCAATGTCCCCATTCTCACGGTTTCCGTGTTACTCATCAAGCCTTCGCCGTCACCGATCACAGCAGGAGGTTGATCCACATTTGTTCCGGAAAATGAGTAGTCCAAGCAACACGGATTTTGGGTGCAAAAGGTGGAATGGTGGGATTCATGCATTGTAGGGATCCCAAGGAGGTCGCTATCTCGGTCGTTTAGTCCGACTTGTGATCTCAGCTTCTCACCATTACATTCGATATGACCAAGAAGCCCAAGCTCAGTACCGTTCATTGACGTAATCATTGATTTTTTGCGGCTAAACAGAGAAGTGTCATGACGATAGCGTTCGGTATCAAATGGGGACCCCGGTTTGGTTGGTGGGGCATGTAGGCGTGAAAGCTGTACTGGCGAACTAACTGGTGATTCTGTGTAGGACTTTGTGATGTGCTTGTAAGGAGATATATCCGCTGGTCGACAAGGTGTTGGTGTCAGTGGTAGAAGGCTTAGTTCGGGTACAAGCTGACTGGTGCATGCATGAATGGGTCTTCCAGGGAAGCACTTGTTATGAATGTGCAATGGCCCCACCACTCCGGAAATAGGATTATTAAACCGTACTGTTAAGTGTGGACTTAATTGCATCTTCGGTGAAGGATGGTGACGTCTATTAGCTAGAAATGGGCTTGCCATGCTTGTTGCATTTCCAGATCCAGAGACAAGTTGAGCCAATTCGTGAGAGAAAATAATCGAATCCGTCTCATCCGCTGAATTGTGTCGAGGCCTCATGTGACACGCACGCCACACCTTTGGATCCGGCGAATGTTCAATGCCACTTGACAAACCGTCAGCTTTGTAAGCTGGACTTCCTTTTGAAATTAGTGTTGGCAGGAATTGGAAAGAGCCCGTTGGGGAACACATACTCTCATTTGCACTGTCTGCCACAGCTGACTGCGTGGTTTTGGGCAGTACCTTGCTGGTCAGCTTTTCCCTTCTTCCGATGATGGGACATGGGCTGTCTACGACGGATGCATTTGCGACGTAGAAATTGTCAATCCGGCAGTTGTGAGATTGTTGATCGAATAACTCGTTTCTGTCACCATCGAGCGCATTTTTCAAAGACATGCAGCGGTGATCCACCACCATGGAGATTTCTAAGAAAAGGCAGTGAAAAAAGCTGGCAAGTTATTGGTAGGCAGACACACGAAGTAAATAAGAATCAATAATCAAGTACTTAACCATGCACAATTCGGTAGCGTCCTTGCGAAGAAAGTGTTAATCCCAAATTTAGTGCGCACGATATTCTTCCAACCGATTACCTCCATATGAAGTACTGCTTCAAAAGCACCTCGTGAAATTTGATTTTGAACGCACCCTTCGTGGAAGTACATACAGTTTTCCACGAAACCCAAGTCCTGTCCTTTATCAAAATCAGGAAGCTCAGTTTGTAATATGATGTTGTCATATACCCCCAGGCGAAACAGATACATAGAGCTCTGCAGCGAGGATTTGACTGAATAACTATCCAAATGAGAACTTGGAATTTCAACATTGCATCAAAGGTTAATATGCAGTCAATATGAGGAAACGCATAAATAATTCATACTGGCAAATATATCGAATTACTACGCAATGTTTACAGTTGGCAACGGTCTTGAAAAGGTTACAACTAACAGATCCGTGCGATAACAAAATAGCGAACTCGATAAGTATGATACCAGCATACTACCCGGCAAAAGCGCTCTCTTAAAAAATACGGTGTAGATAAAAATGGTAGAAAAAACAAGTCAAACCAGTAGTCATGAACCGGCTCAACGAAATCACTTAACGCTCTTACCGGCCATCACGATACAAGCTGACCTCATGCTCAGTACAGTTGCTACAAGGGGCTCCTCAATGACGCATCGTGGAAAAAAGTTAGAACATTGAAAGTCTTGTACGGTGGATACCACAAACCAGACAATTACATTATACTAAAAGAAAGAAATTGGAACCCAGGTTTGACAAGAACAAACCCATGAACGTATCTTAGTAAGCTATGCTATAAACTAAGCTATATAAAACAGGTAATATATAAAACGATGCTATCAGTCGAGTGTCTCTGCAGCTGTACAAGTCCCTAAAACCTCACTTAGGTTTACAAACCAAGGGTGTTCACGTTAAGAGTGGCAAAACTGTGATTCCAGATACATCCATTTGATGTCAGAAGATTCATTATTGTGATACCCATTTTCAACTTTCAAACTTTCAACGTTAACAAATGCGACAGTCTACTTCATGCGCCCACAAGAAAGAAAATGATTCACTTAGTTAGGCTATCACTTGGGTACCACAAGAGAATCAATCCGATCATCAGTTGGACGTGATGACATGTAAACAAATGTTAGACGATGGAACCCCTGTATATCTGTGCGATGAGTACCGTAACCACGCCAATTCGCTGAGTTCGAAAACCTCGCCATATGAGCGAAAAGTAAAGAAAACCAGCAACTGAATAGCCTAGGTGAAGACCATCTCCTCATCCATCAAAACCAGCATAAGTAATATTATTTTATATGGGTAGAAGTTGTTCCATTCTGAAAAGAGGAAAGCTTTATCGATAAACTGGAACCACATGTTTCCTCCTCCCTTTATAGGGGAACGGTGGTTAGCTTCATTTTGACTGGTGAACATGAAACTACCTACACACTGGTCTATGGAGTAGTTGTGTGACGAACTATACAAAATTTTTCATAAGAACTTTGGAAGAAGTGTACACTCCATGGTATTTCATCCGCTCGTGCGTAAGGTCAGGGGCGCCCGGAAAACTTTGGACCGTTCAAATTATTTTGTTCATAATCGTGCTACTAAAAGGAGCGCTAGTAGTCCGTTTGTCGTTTTTTGTTGCCATTGGGTCGGGCTCCACAGTTGTGCATGACTCTTCACACACTACTTGGGCTTGAATAACTCGGCACAGGGAAATGGGGCAGCGCATTAAATTCCAACGGCAGCGCTTCGCGGATCCTCAGTTGCAGCCCACATGAGCGATATCTAACAAAACAACATCTGACGCTTTAAGTTCATATATGGAGTGTTTCGAACGTAATTAGTATTCAACGACTATATGTACACTTGACCAAAAAACAGAACGATCCAACGCACCTATAATAAGAGTGGCGTTTGATATGTTCACCAATGAGGTCGGGAAAGGGTAGATTAGGAATCTGNAACAGAACGATCCAACGCACCTATAATAAGAGTGGCGTTTGATATGTTCACCAATGAGGTAGGGAAAGGGTAGATTAGGAATCTGGAATAAGCTTGCAAAATTTCGTTGAACGAGCTCCACTGGAGCTCATTAGAACGTATAAGTTTTCTATTCGTGTTATTAGGACGCATCCGAACTCATCCGAAACGTTTGCCAAAGACTATTATAATAAACAATGATTACCGGTGATAAATGAAACTACTTGAATATTCCGAACGACTGGGATGATTATGGTCTTGGGAAATGCAGAGTGAATTGTCATTGTTCAACTTTAGTCAAATATTGATCCCTATGCCTCTCGGAAGTTCGGGTTTGTTGAAAATAGGTTACTTGTTCAGAAGAGTCCAATGGAAGTAATAGTTCAGCTGTAACATCCTAGCAGACATGTTCACGTAGGAACCATTAGGATGGAGATACTGGAGGTTGCATAAGCCCAGACAACAGCAGTCGAGATGGCGTGGTTTTGTTGGAACTCCGGAACTTCCGGTCAGTAAGATCGCTTTCTAAACACTGAGCAATCCTGGACTCAGAGGAGCCTGAACGTCCGTTGGCTTTGACCACAAAAGGGTACTAAGGGATCCCCTTTTGCCCTCCTCCAAATACGAAGAAAGAAAGAAAATCTTCCGGTATGGAAAGGACTACATCTATAATGCAAACTGAAAAAATGTTCTTCCAGCCTGTTGCTCCGTATATTTCAGATTAAATCTGTTCTGGTAATGAATACGGCGATAGACTTTGAAAATTTTTTCGTCCTGTAGGTAAAGCCGAGAAACAATGTACAGCTGTTTCATCCCACGGAACTACGGAGAGCTTCGAACCCCTGACTAGTTTGGGAACTTACCCGTTAGGCCACGGGCGGCTGATCAGCAGTGTGATTAACTCGCACTTAGACAGGATATAGTGCCGCTCATCCTTCAATCACGGAATCCACTTCACGCAGTCACACTCGTTGACTAGTTCCTTGATCAGGGACTTCTCAGATAGAAGTTTCACTCATCGGGTAAAGTTTATACTTCCACTGAGCTACTTATAGATTGTTAGCTTTTCAGCATAGATTGGATTCACTTACAGGACGAAGTCTCTACAAAAATCTTAAATGTCCTCACACTACCGACAAACTTTGAAAAATTTGTTGAATATATGTAAGAACCCTATGCATTGCTAAAATCACTTTATTCGACAGGAAAGGTGGAAGATGTACGAAGGATGGGAAAAGATTGCATAAAACTGAGGTGATCGCAAAAAATGGTGACCCCGTTTTCTAGTGCACGTTTAAAATGTGCTCTTATTTGCGTCCAAATTGAACTGACTCCCTTCCAGGAGGTAAAGTACTATTTTCTGCGATATCCGCATGGCATTATAAAACAGGACAGCATGATTTCGAAAATGATAAATTTTTTTCAGAAATATGAATATCCCAAGAAACCAGACATCGTATGAAAATGTGCACACAGTATCCGCATGCAATATACTCAGAAAGAAGTATCATCCACTGAATCCCGATGGAATATGCACAACAACAATAGCCGAGTCCAAAATAAGAAACCTTCAAGAAAACGTCGCTGCAAAACCACTTCTGGTGAACGCAAAATCCGATATGTGTTCACGAAAGAACGCCTTAAATTTATTTCAGTCGGTTGCCATCAAGCCTCCCAAAACTCATTGAAAGAAAAGAAAAGGAAATACGTTTACCGCATATCAAAATATAATATTAAAAAATGTGGTTTGCGCAGTAAATCCAGCGAAAAAGCTTTCCAAAACCAACGAATTGGTTTTGAAAGCTTTCATCATAAACTACAATAAGGCGATTGCCCAATATATTATACAAAGCATAGTTCTTTGGCACCAAATACAAAAAACAGCGAAACTGGTTCATGCACCCCACAGAATGAACCAGGCATGTGCTCAAAGAATACACTTGAGGCGATCTTACGCACCGGCATTCGTGCACTCAGAATTTCGTATTTTTTACTGGCCACTCAAGTTATGTCACCCAGTAAATCTGTCGCTGACCTGTGACAAGTACATGACACTCTCGAAAACAATCAGAATTTCACGTCAATCAAACATAGTTCCGGGATCCCCAAACGCACGCAATCACTTAGCGATTGGCATATTTTGATCTATGGTACATTTGCTTTAGCATTTTCCCAGTATACATCCACCCTTACCCACTCCCATTAATGTACCAGTTCAGGCATTTTCCCTATTCCATACACTCCCACATATATCATCGCTGTGTGCCAAAATCAGACATTAAGCGTGGCAGGTCAGGATGCATGTGCAACGACGGATTGCCTTATTGCACAACATGTCAAGGTTATACTGTCTGGTACACAGCCTTTGCTGAGCACTGACAAACGCCACTCAAGGTGGACTGAGCAGGGGAAAATGATTGAGGGTTATTGAGGTGAACGTCTCCCACCCATGAACATGGGAGCTCGAAATACGTGTCAGCTATTACGACCAACTGTTGGATTGTCCCTCTCACGCGCGTCCATTCACTACAAGGCAAGTGTCACTGAAAATTGGAAAGACGAACGTATTCGTTACCCCGGACGACAATGAACTTTACAAAGTCTCGAATATATTTCAAAGCTTAATATTTGCTGAACAAAGAGGAATAAGGATTTGTTGGGGAGCCGGGTTGAATTTTCCAACGGTGGCAGCTGGCAAAATGTAATATTTTCAATGCTATGCCCTTTTGGTCTGGAGACATCATCCGTTTCTTGAACCATTCGTGCTGTTACTTTACCAAGTTCACTAATTTGGCTGCTAGATATAAGGCATAGTTATTCTGGCATAAACTAATATAGCGTTTTTATCTTTCCCACTATGTGTACTTTATATCTTCAGCGCTTGCACTTACAAGCACATTTTGTGCCTCAAATTCAGCTTTGCTTGTTT